GGGGGGGGGGGAGGAGGAGGAGGAGGAGGAGGAGGAAAGGAGGAGAAATGAGCACAGAGGGAGAAATTTTGAGGTGTTGGTCATAAAACTGGAGGAGCAGGAGGAGTGATAAAGAGAGAAAAGAGGTAATGCAAGGGATTCAAGGTTATACTACATACTCATATACTAATTAAACGCTGTGGTACCCCCAAAAAAGGAGATAATAAGCTGACCGATGTATCATTTAACACTTAAAGTGCAGGAGATAATGCAAGAGTTTAACGCACAGCACTTTGTTAAAAACCCATTACTAACCTTTCATATACTGGTGATTAAATATTAACTGAGGAAGTCACTGGGGAACAAACAGTGTGATGAGGAAAGGACATTAGGAACGCTTAGATTGTGGCCTTGAGTCCGATGGAAGTGTTTAAGCCATCACATGGAAATGAGTGAAACACCCAGATCTGTTGCACGTGAGGCTTTAAACACAATGGACCTGATTTGTTGGCTGACTTCCACTGCAGAGGAACTAGCTGACGCTCAGTTCGTGGCACAGATGAGGCTTCAGAGGGTTGTTTAGCTACTGGAGTCATCTAATCAGGATTTTATCGGAAATAGTCTGGAAATATATTCCAGAGCAGCTTCAATGGGAAATTTGCTTAATAAATGGAGCTCTAACCTTTATTTACTCACAGAAAGATTTGAAAATCTGCAAGATTTGGGTTAGATTAACTCATTTACATGCACTTTAAATACAGTTTTTCCAAATGTCAAGATGTTTTACGTTTCAAATTTGGTTGGCGGAAAAATGCCCTCAGCTAAAACAAAAATGAGCATTTACAACAATTGACATTGTTGTTACTACTTCAATCGACATTTAGACTAGAATAAGTCAAGATTTCTTCTTTTACTGCGTCTTCTGTGCTCTGAGGTGCCCGATCAATTCCCAAAAATGCGAAAAATATTTCACCTTTGATACCGAACTCTGAGTTCCTCCCGTATTTCAGGATGATCACCATCAGGACGCAGCCCGTCAAGGCGACTCCGGCGATTCCCACGACCACGTAAACCTGTCAGAGGCCAGAAAAAGAGCCACTGTTAGATCGTACACATCATTCTCCTACTCTGCACCTTGGGGATGGAATAACCTCCAGAAAGAGCTAAAACTAGAAACTCTCTTGTCCATTAGTGAATTTAAAGCAACCATGAAGAGTGTAGTGATGGAGATATGTGCTTGTTTTTCTTGAGATGCGCAATGTGTTTTAACATACCGCTCTGATTTTATTATGAAAAATGTAATATGTTGTAAATATGTATGAACTTCCTGTGGTGTGGCTGCTACCTTGGCCAGGTCTCTCTTGAAAAAGAGATTCTGAATCTCAATGGGACTTCCTTGTTAAATAAAGGTTAAAAATCTATTTCTGTATCTTTATTTGTGTTGGACTGCATGTGTTCGGAGAGAGGCTTTGAACGCATCTTTGGGAGGACTTACCGCCACGCTGTCGTCCAGAGGAGGGAGAGGAGTATCTGAGTAACACATGACAACAAAAGTCTCAAAACATTTCACCTGAATAATCTGATTGTGAACATTTAGCCACTCTGTCTGACGCTTTTTCTCCCTACAAAAGCAAAGCACAACTCCAATGGTATTGCCTCAAAGCCAACTTTTACTCACAGTATTCAAAGTCGTCTACTAGGAGAAAAAAAGAGAAGAAGAAGGAAAATGATGGTCAGCAGTTATGCTGGGAAAGAGGAAGCCCCCTTTTTTTTTTTTGTGGTGGACACAAAAAGTCACCTGTGTGGTTGATGTAGGGCGGGTCGATGAACTGGGCGAAGACGGTCTTCTCGTCCTGGCCGAACTCGTTGGTGGCCACCAGCTTGTACTCGCCGTTGTGGATGTGGGTGGGGTTGACCAGCTGCAGGCAGCCGTGCTGCTTGTCCTCGGTGGCCAGGTGCACCCTGGTGCGGATGTAGTCCTGCTCCTGGAGCAGCTGGTTCTTGTGGTACCAGTGCAACTCGGCCTTGGGGTTCCCCGCCACCGTGAAGGGGATGCACCAGTGGTGGTCCTGCTCGGGGGCCAGCAGCTGCTGGATGGAGGGGGCGACTGGGGAGAGCAAGAACAGGAAGCCGTGAACACCGGGAGGACAGCAGGAGGAGGGCGGCATTTAACTAATTGGCTGCCAAAGACGTCTATAGACGTCAATTAAAATACAACCGTTGACTGCCAAATACGTCTATAGACGTCTTTTAGGTTTTTCAACGCGAGTGGCTTGGGGGACGATCTGCTAAAGCTTGTCCGTAAATATCAGGCTTCTAGACAGAGTGTGTAGTAACAAATTGACACTCTAGGGGGTAGTGCCACTTTTGATGGGAGATGAGCATAGACTGTAGGCAAATAAGAAAAAGGTAACGGTTCGATATGAGAGAACATGTCGCCGGTGAGACGCAAGTTGAGGAGGAACGGAATAAGGTAGAAACAAAAAAAATTTCCTGATGAAAGAAGAGAGTCTAATCTTTCTTTTGGTGTGTTCGGTGTTTACATAGTCATAGCACAAACTATTCTGTGGCTCTTGAAAAATCAGTCAAAATGCTCAAAAAACTCTGGCACTATGGGATTCTCTGTTCTGAAAATGGCTGGCAGTCAATGAGTTAATCACGGGATTTGGAAGGTACAGGATAAATGGTTAACGGGAGCAGACGGGAGCGGGAATCAACCAATAGCAAAGAGGAGAAAAAAAAAAAAGTAAATGCACCATTTTGTAGTTTCCTTTTAGTATGCCTACAATGTAACGCAATTAAAAAATAACTACATGACCCAGCCGTCCCAGAAGCCATCAGTTCTTTTTGTCAAATGATTTACGGCGCAAAGTCAGAAGTAATGACATGTCTATTAAGTTCACAGAACTGGTCGGAAAGTCTGAAATATTATATAAGTTTATGAGAATAGAATGTGACGGTGCTAGCACGATGTACGCTGCTTGTAAGACTAAACACTAATTGAAGAAAAATATATATATGGGAGCGGTACAGGAGCGGGAGTCAGTTTAAACAGGAGCGGGATGGGATGGGATTATTTTTTTAAACTTTGGTCTGGGAGTGGGACGGGACAAGAGTGAAAATCCACTCCCGTGTCATGCTCTAACGGGGACCTTTGCAGGAGGAAGAGTTATGGACAGGAAACATGGAAAGTCAATAAGATTTGCCAAGAGACACTAATGAAAACAAACAAGGAGCCCTCTGCTCCCACAGGAAAAACGCGGTCTAGAAGAAGGCATTTAAAAGCTCATCACGGAGGAAATTAGACGAATTAAACTCCGCGGTGTAAGTGTAATTTCTGGAGATGTATGCGGTAACGGAGGAGCTCACAGAGGATGTTGAGCTTGAGGCTGGCCTGCGTCTGGCCGACCATGTTCTCCGCGCTGCACACGATCACCCGCTGGTTGTCGTCGGGGGACAGGTTCCACAGCACGAGGCTGCTGCCATTCTCCGAGTGCTCCACCTGCAAACACGACCCGGTTTCTGTGAGCCAGCGGGGTGGGGGGGAAGGCGACCGAAAGTCCACCGACGACTGGCTGGACGCACAGTGCAAACCAAAGGGGTGGAAAATCTTAAAACTCCAGAGTCCACTGGTTCCGTTTGTTCAATTTAAGAATAATTTGGACTCTCATGGTTATGCCACGAGACAAGCAGCTGAAGGACGATTTGTAATTCCTAGGGCGAAAACTAATTTTCTTAAATGCACCTTTACTTACAGAGCAATGAAAGAATGGAACTCACTGCCATTAATTCTCATAAAAATTGTACATAAGCCTGCTTTTAGAACGTAACTTAAGAAGTCTTTAGGAGCAACTTATCTATAAATGAAATAGTTTCATATTCTAATTTACCGTAACTGTCCCCTTTTCTATGAATGTTCAGTCTTATTGATATGTATATGATATTTGTCATCTGTCAAACATGATCATGAGTTTACATTGTATACTGTATTTTTAATGATGTGGACCCCAGGAAGAGTAGCTGGGTGTAAAGCACAGCTAATGGGGATCCTAATAATAAATAAACAAAAAATAAACAAACAAAGGTCTGACGTGTTTTAAACATGTATCACGTGCTAATGCTGATGGATCATCACAGATCAGGTTTGAAACCATGTGAATTACGTATAAATACAACCAAATGACTGCGTTTCCTGCAGCAATCTAAAAAAAACAATCAGGAAAAACTCACATAAAGCAGCAGAATTAGTAAAATTTCAAGTTATTAATTGGAAGAGCTGAAGTTTTTTTTAAACATGTTATGCTTTATATTTAAAATCATACTTTTCATTTTGTGATCAATAAATGAGGTAAAAACTTCTGCAAAAAATGTAAGTCTATCTCTCCGTTTCAGAGATAATCAGCCATATATGACGCAAATTGGGTGTTGAAATAAAACTTAACAGGCCCTTTAGCAGCATTAAATACTGCAACAATGCTCATTTCTGTACAGTTGCGTGTACAATATGAAATACGTGTGTTTTACAATGTATTTGTATTTTTTAATGCAACAGGACGTGGTGGTTTTTATTAAATTATTCTCGATATTTGCACAGGTCTGCAGTTCCTGTTACTGCATCAGTGTCAAGCCAGATGCTTTTTGAGGTCGAGAGCTTTTCCTCTATTCACAAGGTTGCTGGTTCAGTTCCCAACTCCTCCAGCTTTTGTGTTACGGCAATTTTTGACAAGCTGCAATCAGCACCCCTCAAATCTAAAAATCTTTGGATAAAACCACTTGTATATGTTAAGATTTGGCTATAATTACTCACTTTAGCATAGTATGCTATCATATAATCTATGTAAATTACTGATTGTCTTATTCCTTTTAGAACTATAGTTTTGTGTTAAATTCTTTGGCTGTAACCACAGATTATCTTTTTCTCCCAGTTAAATTATGCACATGTCATTAGGTCAACACACACACACACACAAACTTTGTTACCACATTCCAAGGTTAACTGCATTAATTAGGTCCTGGCCGGGTCATGTCAGGGTTATAGGGTTATTAAATAACTGGCCAATAAGCACTCAGTCGTGTCCAGTCCTTTTTGAGGGGGGGGCCCAGCCCGACAGATAAATACCCATCACACCCAGAGCTCAGGGCTCTTTGCCGACTGATACCCAGAGAGATGTTTTTGTCTGTGAAGAGCCCAGCGCTGATATACTTTACCTGTGACCCAATAAATGTCAATTTTTACTGTTGATCTACTCTGGTTTATTCTCAGCTTTCCAACTAAAGAATCGGGTTAACAGATATAACCGCAATCCTTGTTTTAGAACTACAGATTTGTTCAGTGTTGCTCTGTTTCCCTCAAACAAAAAACTGGTGGATTTAGTTTTTAGAGCTGTTCTAAAAACTGAAAACTCGATCTTTCTAAGTAGCTCAGAACTACTGGTCCTCAGTTTGTGAGTCCTTTTACTTGGTCCTCAGTCTGGGTGGCTTACAAGAATGTGTGTGTGTGTGTGTGTGCTTGAGTGTGTGTGTTTGTTAGTGTGTGAGAGTGTATGTCTGAGACCTAGTGGGAAAAATAGAAAACTCTATCTTTCTAAGTAGTTCAGAACTACTGGTCCTCAGTTTGTGAGTCCTTTTACTTGGTCTGGGGTGCTCACAAGAATGTGTGTGT